AAGTGGTAGATAAATGCAATAGCAGTAAATTAAGGGTTTGGATCCGTTTTCCTTGTTTGAGTCACCAAGAATGCATTGACAAAATGAATAAGAATAAATAAACTTGACGTCTGTAAACTGTGTTTAACTTCCTATATTATAATATTAATTAAATGATATTTTTAATTATATTAATTAAATTTTGTGAAATTATTAAATTGCTCTCATTTTACTGGATACTTTTTATTGTTACTTTTCCATCTTTTACTCAGCGAAGTAGCACCGAATCAACTATAGTAAAAAAGTCTTCTAGTTTAAGTTACTTGTGTAGGTATTTTTTTATGATAAATGCGGGACACGTGGATTCCCTTGATGGGTAAATGAAATACCGTAGCCATCTAACATATAAACAAGATGCTCTGTCGTTTTTGTGACATATTTTGTGATTGTTTGTGGCTATTTTCGCGGAATTTTGATATCCTACCTGCCATTTATTATCAAGATTTCAATACGAAGTTCAAAATGTTTCAGAAAAACTATAAATTGATTAGAAAAATGTTAGACCTAGTGTTAGTCCTAAAACTGGAAAGGTTAAGTGAAATAACGATCTGAAAATAAATTCTTTAATCCGGCGTACTATTTTTAACTTTGTGGAAAGCTCAAGTATAAATCAGAGTTCAAGAACTAACTGAATAATACAGTACTCGAAGTCTACAATAAATTATTATTTGTCCAACCTCAATGATTGAAACCTGACCGCCCACGCATATATTAATTCTAAATCAGTATCGATGTAACTGGAATCGCTTCTATTGGCTCAAGCACAGAATACAAAATAACGCATCGGATATGAAGCCGTCACGAGTACTCCAAATTGGAGTAATTTGAAGAACCACTACACAAACTTTAAAAAAAGCTAAACTTATTTGGAGATTAGTTACAGACTGTCTCCCCGTAATCACGGCAGCTGTAAAGCACCCAAAACGTCGGGCCGTAGTTAAAATAATCTGTACGGATGTATGTATGTGTTATACCATGGACAGTCGTATATATTATTTAATTTATAGAAAAGTTCATACAAATTTCAGGAGTCGAACCAGAGCTCTTCCGGTATAAAATTAGATAATTTTGTTTTTTATTCTTTAGACGGTAAATGTATGTTTTCGGACACAGTCCGCTGTGTACAATTGTGACGTAACACTCCTTCTGAATGTTTCAATATTCTGTGGCCTCAAGTTATATCTCCAGAGAATGTAATATGAATGTATTTGTGGATATCTCTTACTAGTTTCTAACTATCACTGTTAACTAATCTTCAGAGTTCGAGAATGTTGAATTTGGGAAGTTTTGAATTAGTAATTTGGGGGAAATATTTAGACCAGAAACATGATACAGATAAAAAATATGAATAGTTTCATTTAAACGAGGGATTTACTTAATGGAAGGTGAAAATGACTAAGCCATAATATAACACTTATGCTGTTGACAATTTTTAATAGTTTTCACATGAGGACGTTATATAAATAATAAATTCGATTAAAGTTTAAAAAGAATACGATACATTTGGGACTCTAACCGCCATCCACAGCATTACGTGCTGTTCGTCTAACCAAGATGTTCTTGACACGTTAGCTCAATAGGTGCTACTACAACAGCATGGAACGTTGGGGACGCCGGTTCGACTCCCTGTCGTATTATTTTATTCAATACTTAGGTTAACAAGTTTGTTTTAAAAAAATATCTCTGCTGGGAATCTAACCCACGCTATTTATTTAAGCTTCGACCTGTTTTGAGTGCTTACTAAAAAAAATTCAAATCTGCTCCGCTAGCGCCATCTGTTGCCTCGTTATTGGTATCTGAAGATACCGCACAGGCTTAAGTACCTTCTCATTTATATGTCATTTTATGGTATACTTAACACTCTTAACAAGTGCAATAAATCTTTCACTTGATATTACAACTCTTAGTACTACTACTACTAGAGTACTTTATAAAATATCACGATCTAAAATGTATTAAAAATCAATATAAAATGGATCATATAATTAGAACCGTACATAGTTCTAAATCAAACCTAGCGCACATGCATCGTCTGGACAGTAACAAAAAGTTAATTAAAGAGTGCAAAGAGTACAAGACTAGACGTTGAATGACGAGAGACCCCGCCCAACGCGTATTGCGTTTTACTTGTCGTGTCGCATGCTTCTGAATTTAAACTGAACATTGCCTTGGAACAAAAGAAGTATACAATACACTGATTTATGCATTACAACAGTGATTTAATTCGGGGAACTTGCCAACACCTACAGTCAAAACAATTTCCTTTTTTCTATTTAATTGGCGTAACGTACAATAGTGCGGTTGACTTTAAGAAATTCATTGTTTATGATAGAAGAGAACAGACAAGTATAGGATTCAGTTGATGTGCTATCAACCTATAAACAGTGAGTCTTGGAAATAAAAATATACGTACAAAACAGTTCACGATAAATTTACATGAAGCCATGCTATACAACTACATTACGAGAGATTATTTGTGAAAAAAATATTAGCTTGGTTAATTGGACCATATCTTAACGAAAGAAACGTTTTTTTTTTATAAATGAGAAATCCTTACAGGCTCCAATTCCTACTTCCGTTTCCCGAACTTACGGATCGGTAGCCGGGAAAAATATGTAAAAAATAATAAGTAAAGTAAACGACATGTAGATTTAGATAGAGTGTAAAATTCTGTGACCCCTTGCGGGGCATGGGGCGAACGAGTATTTTTCCCTTTTATTAACAGGATCTCATCCTTATCGTACTTAACATCTAAATATTGAAACATTAGATTTTATAAGGCGTTCGCTGTTTTTGTATTACAAAGCCTTCTGGGTTTTCCAGCTATTTAAAAACATTTAATAATTATAAATAAGAAAACACTGAATACTGTCTATAGTTTACGCGAGTGGTACACATTTAAATAAAACACTTTAACGGCCTCCCCGTGACCACAGCTGCTGCAAAGCATCCGAAACGTCGGGCCGAAGTTAAAAATAATTTTCAAATAAGTTTAACTAATATATCCCGTTTTAAACCGTTAAAGTGTTTTTTTTTTAAGACAACACTGTTTTATTTAAAGTTGTTTAAATTATATCTCGCTTATAATGTAAGGAAAGGGGGACACAATTTTAAGTCACAATTACTTACAAAATATAAATTATTTAGAGAACTTTGTGATACGTTGTACAGCTACGAAAGATTGCATTGGCTCCGTGATTGTGATACACTGGGGACAGTAAGTATCCACGAGGCCACTTTCGAAGATTGCTCTGTCGCTTCGGAATGGATCCCGACCGTGAAAAATTAGTACTCGCATAGCATCAGGGGGTGCAACTTCGTTTTAAAATGTACTGGGGTCGCACTTGCATTCCAATAAGATTGAACGTGTCGGATACAACGTATTTTTTCCCCGTTATAAAATATTTAATAATATTTATGACACTGTAATTTATTGTTCTAGGTGTAAGTGATGGCTGTAAATGGAATTTTTCTGACAAAAAATAACAGATAAGCATGAGAATCTCTTGGGATCTCCCAAGTGGGAGTACCAAGCCATGTCAACAAGATGCGTTGTTGATGTATTTTGAAATCCACAGACTGAAGCTGAAAGCCAGATTTACACCTATGCTGAGTTCCCATTTAAACGTGCAACAAGTTACAAAAAAAGCAGTCGGTAGGAATCAAACCCATTTACCAATGCGTTTATTGTTAACCATATACCATTAAGACCAACGAACCCAGACATTATGGCGTATCGTGTTTATTATCATCATTAGATTTTAATAGTACTCACAGGGATTCCTGTACATAAAGATATAAGAAACCTTTATGTATTACTACTGGAAATCTAGGTATTTTTATATAACTTAAATACATCTTAAGGCTGTATGCTAGACGAAACGACAGAAAACGAACCTAACAGGATTACTGTCCTCTCGCGCGTAGCAAATACCTCTTTGTTAATAAAAAAACTCGCCAGCAGACGACAGCAAGAACCAACACAGCTCGCAGCGCGCTTGTTCTAGGCTTGTAAACGACTAATATTCGGTTCGTGCTCGGTTCGCCTAGCGTAGAATATATTCATTTGGACATATTTACAGACATACATTGCTATACTTTCTTATAATATTCTAGTTCTCTTATTACCTTTCTCATAAATATGCAAATTCTCTAAATATTGATACATTTTAAAATATATAAGGATAAACTACTTCACTCGACTCTATTTTAAATATCCCGTTTTGTATTACAAAGCATTAATTAAGTTTCGAGTCTCCATTCGTGTTCGTACTGAAAACAGCGACCTAGATTCTAAAGCTAAATTAAATCTTTTCAAACTAAATGAATGTTATTAAATGACCTTTTATAAGTTTAATATTGAAATTATTAAACAACCTATTTAAGATCTAATAACAAACTTAAGTATTGCCTGTATTTTCCTCTTTCGTAGTAGTCCCGTGGTCACGGGGGGCCATGACTGCTGCAAAGCACCCAAAACGTCGGTCAGTAGTTAGAATAGTAAATAACTTAATTAATACATTTTGAGTTTTAAATCGGCTGTCTTTTATTTCATCATTTCTTTGTTTTTCGTCGGTATAGTGTTCCTGTCTGGTACACTTCCGGTTCTAAGTCCTGATACTGTACCTTTTTACGTTTAGTATTTCTAGAAAAAAACTTTACGTAATTCGAAAGCAGTGTTTATAAAGTTTGCCTATACTAATTGTTGTATTGTTAGTAGGTAGTCAAGCCTACCCGCTTTTAGTATAGTAGATGTAAGGTAGCTACAAGAGATAATAAAGTAGTTGTAACTGCACCTTGTCTTTATCTAGTTACAACATGGTGTCAGGTGTGATTTTAATTCGTTTATAGTTAAAATGTGAGTTTATTCAGTTCAGTAAATTGTTAGAAACGTAAAGTGAGTAACCAGTAATCGTCTTAAATCGAAAAGTTAAGTTGAAAACAACTAAACGTGTGGAAAAATGGAACACGCGCGGCCACCAAGCGCATTAAGTATGGCGGAAGGCGGTCCAGTGAGTCGGGCCGACGCCTGGAAGCGCTGGAAGCAGCAGTTTATGATATTTTTAAAGGCTTCGGGTGTACAAACCGAACCGGCGAGTGTTCAATCTAGTTTATTGATTAACTTAATTGGCCCAGATGGCTTCGACGTATATGAAACGTTCACTTTCGAGAAGGAAGAAGACAAAGACGATATATGCGTATTATTAAAAAAATTTGATGCATATTTTGATACGAAAGGAAACATCACGATTACGCGTTACAAATTCTTTACTCGCGTACAAGAGGACGGCGAGTCCATACAACAGTATGTTACTGCTTTACGTTTAATTAGTAAATATTGCAATTTTGCCAGCCTTGAAGAAGAATTGATAAAGGACCGCATAGTGTGTGGTGTCCGTAATCATGCGATCAGGGATCGCTTACTGAGGTGTGAGGATTTATCGCTCGACAAGGCAATTAAAATATGCCAAGCAGAGGAAGTGTCTCGAGAGAGTGATACCCAACTAAGGGCAAGTGTCAGCGGGCAAAGTGCAGTTCAGTGTGATCGTGTGGCAGCGCGGCCGAGGCTAGGCCGGCGCAGCGCGGGGCAGACTCGCGCGAGCGGCGCGGGCGCCTCTGTGCGTGCTGTGGTGAACCGCTGCGACGCGTGCGGTTCGACGCGTTGTGCGGAGGGGCGCTGTTCGGCGGCCCGTGCTGAGTGTTTTGTGTGCGGTAATAAAGGACATTTTGCTCGAATGTGTAAGTTGAAGCAATCTAATTATTATTTAAAGGACAGGCGCGTGTATGAGCTCGAGTGTCACGATAATCATAGCGACGATAGCGCAGACGGTACCTTGCTTTATGTTTCCGCTATTGAGAAAGATACTGATCACTGTGATGAATGGTTTGAGGTGTTATATTGTGATAAGGGAAAAGAAAAATTAAAGTTGGATACGGGTACCGATGTAAATGTTATTTCGTTTCAAACTTTTTTGCGGTTTGGCTTCGATAGAAATGTAATTATAAAGGAAAATATTCGATTGAAATCTTATAGCGGCAATACAATTCCAATAAGAGGGTTTTGTTATTTATCTTGGTGTTTTAAAAACAAAGTGTATAATTTATATTTCGCAATTGCTGATATTAAATGTCAAAGCCTGCTGGGACGGAAGTCTTGTGAACGGTTGGGATTAATAAAACGTATCCAATCTATAAAATTAGATAACTACGGTGACGTGTTTAAGAGTTTAGGTTGTTTACCGGGCGAACATCACATCGTCGTGGATCGGTCCGTACAGCCGGTGGTTTGCGCTTCGCGAAAGATTCCGTTCGGTATGCGCGACGTTTTATCAAAGGAATTAAAAAAGATGGAAGAATTACGTGTTATTAAAAAAGTCGATTATCCGACTAAATGGGTGCATCCTTTAGTTTTGGCTGCTAAGAAAAATAACGGTGTTCGCATATGTTTAGATCCTCGCGAATTAAATCGGGCCGTTCAACGCGCACACTTTCAGCTGCCGACGCTGACTGAAATGGCTGCCAAATTACATGGAGCTAAGTTCTTTTCCGTTTTAGACGCGAATTCTGGATTTTGGGCTATTAAACTGGATAGGGAAAGTGCGGATGTAAAATTGTTGCAGATTCAATGTACATCGAAAATCTATTATGACCGAAATTGTAAGTCTTTGCCCACACTCAATGTAGGAGACCCCGTCATAATATGTGATAATAATAATAGTAGATGTCGGGGTACGGTGATTGGGCGAGCAAACACTCCTAGGTCTTATATAATTGAGAACAAATTTAGATCACGTTATCGGCGCAACCGGCGCCATTTAAAACAAATTGTAAAACCTGATCCGTTGTTATCTAAAAATGAAGATCATCATGATCAAAATAATTTAATAAGTGAGCCTGACGGTGACGACAGTTCACCAGATGAAGTGGAACGCACTTCCAAGGAGCGTTCCATAATTTTAACCAGAAGTCGGGCGAAAAAACTGAAAAATGTTTGTAATTAGTGTGTTTTCTTTTTATTTTCATATTGTTCATATTTTTCTTTAAGGGGGAAAAGTGTGTGGTAGTGCTTAGCGGGTCTTATCTTTTAAGGGGAAGATGTTGTATTGTTAGTAGGTAGTCAAGCCTACCCGATTTAGTATAGTAGATGTAAGGTAGCGACTAACAAGAGATAATAAAGTAGTTGTAACTTTATAAAATAATAAATTGAAAACCGGTTACCCATCAGTATTGATACACAATTGTATGTCTGTTACACTGAACTCATAACTATATTTAGAGACTAGTATCTTTTCAGACTTCTATGCCCTACCAAAGCTGTTAAGTCTAGGACTCTTATAACTTCAGTGTGGTTAACACAGCACGATTGTATTATACTCTAATTGTTTATTATATTATATAATAATTATTTTTATCTAAATAAATTACAGATTATAAGACAAGTATCTGTTAACATGTTTTAAATATCTCTTAGTATTATGTGAGTTTAATTCTCCTTACCGTGTTTCAAAAACAAATTTAGTTAAAGCAACAGCACGGTACTCTACGGATGCCGGTTCAAATCCTGTCTGCGTTAACAATTTTTTAAAATCTTAATCGGCTTGTACCATATATAACAAAAGTTCTGCTTATATTAATAACTAGCTGTGCCAGCGACTTCGTCCGCGAGAATTGTTATTTTGGGCATCGAAATTCGTTTTTGCAAGCCCCTTTATAAACATAAGCTGTTACCCACGACGTCGGTAGCGTCCCTTCACGTCAAGTTAGTCTTAAAAAATATAGCATCGCGAACTTTTTTTCTAGATCATTAAAAAAAGGGGCATCATTCCTTTAGACATATTTTTTTGGTGTCTTGAACCGTTGTCGCAGCATACGCATCTGGAACCCACAGAGATGAAAAATTTCCCCCGAATTGTTTTACATTTCCCGCTATAACTTCGCTTCTATTAGTAAGAGCGCGATGTTTAAAAGTCTATAAGCCTTCCTCGATAAATGCTCTAACCAACACAAAAATATTTGTTCTATTTGAACCTGTAGAAGTTAGTGCGTTCAAACAAACAAACTCGTCATGTTTATATATTAGAATATTTACAACAGTGTGTAAAGCTATTGAAGTTTGCTAACACTGTAACTAAATTCTTGCATGGCTGAAATTGTTCAGTGCTACTATACTCTTGTGCAGCTATCGATAGTCAAGGAATACCACACCTCTTCAGGAATACATGTTACCTTTTGAGCTGAATAATTATTATTATTGAGCACAGAGTGTACGTTTACGCAGAAAGCTCATCTACGTAACGAAGTGGCGTCTCTTATGCATTAGGTAATGAAGATGCTTTATACTGCTGTCGAAGAATCTTGGAATTTAAACACTTTAACGGTTTTAAACTCGAAATATGTTTTATTGGCGTGATGGTGTCGGTTGAATATCGACAAGCCCGGGGATTCGCACTTTGTTGATACCACCACATTTATAATTTTTACGACATATACCCAATATAGGTAAGCATCCGAAACATCGGGCCGTAGTTGAAATTGTTTTCAAATAAGTTTTACGTATGTATATAATGCGTTTGAAACCTTTATAGCGTTTTATTTAAAAAATTAATGAAATATGTTGGATTTTGTCTAGAAATATCGAACCACCATCTGCAGATGGAAAGCAGTTGCCTAGCATTGCTATTAAGCGCAAGAGGTCCTGGGTTTGAATCCCGGGAAAACAGTAAATTGTTTCAATCAGGCAGGGCACAGAAGTCTCATCAACTACTTGCCTGTAAATAAAACCGATTAGTGAAACGGACACAGAATTGTGTTCGCCCTGTGCCCCACGAGGGGAAACGGGATTTCACTTTATTTACTTTTGAGGTTTTTTATTGAATAAATAACAAATATATACTTAAAACAAAATCTACTTTTTTAAAAGTTGTTTTATACAGTAATCGTAGAGTCTAGATAACAGATACAAAGAGAACTCTCAAAGAACTATACTTTCGTAGAATCGTTATATTTCTGAATGAAACTTGATTATAGGGGCGTCTAAAGAAAATTTATTTTAAAATAGACACGTTTCACGGGACTATAAATTTGTAGATAATGATACAGATTTTGGATTTATGGTTATTCTAGTAATATTATGTTTACAGAAAATGTGTACTACTCGTGTAAACTACAGACTACACTTATTATACAATCACATTTAAATTTCATTTATTGTTAACAGACAAGGACGTCATAGATCTATATAAGAGTAGGTACCTATATAAGAAACTATATATATTTGAAAGACATGTGCTTCATTATTTTAAGAAGTCGTTTTATATTTTTTTAACAGAGGCGGGATAGACAATCTTGTGGTTCACTAGATCGAAGGTGAAATACCCTTACCATGTAACATTAATACTAAAGGCGCTGATGATGGCGCTATTTTGACTTTGAAGTTTCGGAAATTCAGAAACTGAAACGCGACTAAACTCTACGCCTTCTTTATTTATGGCTGGTTTATAACCCGGAATTTAGATATTCCTAACACACATGAACACACAACTGAATATATACTGTCTATAGTTTACGCGAGTAGTACATATTTAAATAAAACACTTTAACGGTTTAAAACGCGATATATTAGTTAAACTTATTTGGAAATGATTTTTAACTTCGGCCCGACGTTTCGGGCCCCCAATCTCCCCGTGACCACGGCTGCTGCAAAGCATCCGAAACGTCGGGCCGAAGTTAAAAATCATTTACAAATAAGTTTAACTAATATATCGCGTTTTAAACCGTTAAAGTGTTTTATTTACACATTTAATATTCAAATATCTAGACGAAGTCCAGCATGATTTATACTTTCGAATTGAGTAGACAATTCAATAGGGCTTGAACGCACATCCCGTCGATTACCATACTTTGCTACCATTAACCAACGTGGCCACTATCAAACAGCTTTAAAACACGTCGAGCCAAGGTCGAAAACGTTCGAGGTCGTTCACTAAACTTTTAACTTCCATTATCTTTTAAGCTGCACTAAATTCAGGGGTCGTATATAACAAAGCGTTAACGAGGAACTCATAAAGTTGAGCTCATAGTCGTCGTCCCAAAGGTTTACGATCCCCGTCTGATAAGGTACTGTGTAGTTCGGTGCAGCCCTGAAGTTGTTAACTTATAGTTTGTCTACAACACATATTGCGGTATAATGTGACTTAAATTAGTGTCGCCTTATCTTTTGGAGCTTTTAAGACGGTCCGTTTAAAGTGGTTACCTGAATTACCTTGGGGTTATTACAAGACAAAGTTGCATAAAATTCGCATGAAATTAATTAACTAAGATTAGTATATGTAAGATTAGGTATGTGTCCAATAACTAACGGATTTGAACCCTACTGGGTCCCACATATTTCTAAGATAATTTAATATATAATACTAGCTGAGTCCGCGACTTCGTACGCGTAGAATAGTTATTTTGGATATCACTTATCGTTTTGCAAACCTCCTTTTCAACTCTATAAATTTAAGATGTTACCCATGCCGTTGTGCGCGTCCCGTCGTTCTTGCAAGTTAATCTTACAAGATATACATATAACGTCGCGGAGTTTTTGTAGATCATTTAAAGAGGAATCATTCTTTAAAAAAAATGAAATATATGATATATTTTTCAAAAATAATTTTTCAACTCGAATCAGTTTTTTTATATTGATTTATATATTAGTATAGATTACCATGTCACAGTGTTAGTTAACGCATTCTTCCGAAACGGCGAAAACAATTTATATGAACTTTTATATGCATTTTCAGTACATCAGAGAATCCGTTACTACCTATTCTACATACTTCTAAGTAATAAGAGTTTTTTTTAACAGTCGTTTTAGTTATTTAATAAATTTTCACACCGCTCGATCAGTTTTCACTTCGTAAGATACCCCCCCCCCCCCCCCCCCAATCTACTAGGGATGAGACTAAAGCCCGACTTGCCAGATGGTTAGACTGAAGAAATTCTCTAGAAATTATTGTGTTTAGCAATATAGCGTTTGCTGAGTCAGCTAGGTTATAATAAAATGTGTTTTACCCCGTCTAGAAATTGTGTACGATTAAATTGGATGGAAACGCCCTCTACAGATAGGAAAGATGTGAAATGTCAGTCTGTGGATTTCTTGCCCAAACCCGCATTAGGTCGACATAAACAAACATTATCTGTCAATAATAATTACTGGAAACTCTAGGAAACTCTTCCTTGTGAATTATCGATTAAGAAAATGTCTATCAAGCTATAATGGGAATTAAACTATTCAGGAAGCGTTGCGAGTTTTGTTTATCGTTTAAACAGACAGCAGTTTGCAATTTCACTTTTCAGCATGAGCCACCCCTTATTGACCGAATCGCCATTATCACTAGTTAGTTTAGTAAACATTTGCACTCTCGTTTCGACCTATCAAACGGGAAAGGTTTGCTATACAATTATAACCTCTATTGCAGTACAACGAGGTACGGAAATAGCGTGCAAGTAGATTTTTTCAAAGGTTGCGTGTTTAAAATGCATAAAACATAGTTTAGTAATGAAAGGTTATTGTTTTATATCGCTGCCCGCCCAGTTATGTGACAGTGGGCGGGAAGGGAGTTTTCGCTGTACCCTCGTGCGCAATTATTTTTATTGGTTTTAATTGGGACACTGCGAATTTACAGTATAGTAAGTATATAGTCATATACTTTATTATTCATTTAATACTGCAATATGACGATTAACTATAAAAATACAGAACTTCGACCCGAGTAAAATCTAAACCTGTATTACTTATTTCTATAATTAACAAAACATATTTTTTATTCAAAATTAAGTCTCACGTGATTTGTTTTTCTAGGATATATCTATTTTTTATTTTAAATTACCATTAATAGTTATATAATCAAAATGTACATGTTTTGCTAACTTGTGTATGTCATATACATTCCTTGTTACAGAATTAACACTTAGTTTAATCCTTCAACTATTATTATTTTATTATAAAACCTTTAAA